CTCCGCCTCGGAGGCAAAGGGAGCCGCCTCGCTTCAGAAGGCGGAAGCCTCAAACAGCCCCGCAGCGTGGACAGCAGCCCCGGGCCACAGGCTGGAAACTGAGACTTGAGAGAGTGGACGAATGTGGTCAGAGACGCAGGCGGGGCTCCAAGCCAGGCCCAGGCCTGGGCGTCTCCCCCAGGGGGGTCGAGGGCCCTGGGAGCGGAGGGTGCCCGCCGGCCAGAGGCTGGCCTCTCCATCCTGTTCTTTGGGGTTCCTGCACCCTTGCGTCACCGCCCTGAGGGTCTCCCTCTGCCAGAAGAATCAAATGTGAAAAAGAGCAGCCGACCGTTCCCTTGAAAGGCTGAGCCCTGCTCAAGATCGCGTGACGGTGCGTGACGGTGCGTGACAGTGCGTGACGGGTTCTGCCCTAGAAGCTCGGTACGGGTGAGAACGCAGCCTGGGGTCCAGCAGGGCCCAGCTGAGAATCTGGGCTCTGCCGTTGGCTGTGTGACCTGGACCAGTTACTTGACTTCTCTGTGCCTCTGTTTCCGCCCCTGTGACATGGACGCTACCCCTACCTTTTTGGGCAGCTGGTGCGGCTACTTGGCACACAGAGACCCTCCCATAATGCGTGTTTCCTCCTCTCCTGCCACCACCTTCCATTCTTTTGCCTCTGGAAGCAGCCAGCAGCTTCCGAGTCGTCTCCTCTCGCTGTCTCGGCGGCAGCGTCCCAGCTCTGCCTAATAATAGCTCTTTATCCCATTAGGCGCACATCTCAGAAAGAGCGCTTTCCTCTTCTGGGTAATTAGAGGTAATTAGCACTGCCTCCTTGCCACCCTCCTGTTTTCCTCCCTAGCAAGTTCCCATTAGCGTTGGGGGGCGCTGGCCGCCAGGCTGGGGGCGAAACCTACGGGATCCACCTCGCCCGCTGACCCACGCGCCCAGGGCCGGCGGTCAGTCACCCCAGGCCTCGGCCACCTGCCCCTGCACCTGGTCTGAGGCGGCCTCTGGTCTCAGGGCCAGCGGAGCTGAGCGAGCAGGCCTGGGCCTGCTGCGGGCTGGGGGTGTCTTGGCGTGAGTGAGGCAGGCAGACCCTTCCAGGGTCCTGGGTGGGGGCTGGGTTGCAGCCAGTGGACAGGGATTCTGCCGCCCCAGGGGCCCACTCAGGAGCCAGCACTGGCTCTAGCTGCTTCCAGAACAGTTTGGCGCAAAGCAGACAACAACAACAATGCTAACCAATGGAGACACCACAGTACATGCTTTGTAGCTACTGTGCCGTTTGATCCTCACGGAGCTCCTGTGTCCTGTCCACGGTACAGATGTGGAAGCTGAGGCCGCCCGAGGGGGCGCAGCAGGAGTGGTAGCACCCAGCAGCCCGAGGTGCTCAGCAGGGCTTTCCAGTTGTGCATTCTGGAACAGCTCTTGGGCGAAATTCCCACCCGAATTTCCCATGGACGCTCCTCCTCCTCCCTGGCTCCACCCAGCCCTGCCTGGACACCAGCCCTTCAATGACATTAGGAACATGGAGGGAGGCACTTCTTGTTTATCCCAGGGGTCTAGGTTTCTGCTGACTGGAACAGGACGGCTAGAGCTTCAGCAGCCTATGGGGCTCCCAAATGAAGCAGCCCAGCTAGCGCCCTCCCCTCTATCCAGCCCTTCCAGGGACAGGAAGGTAAAGGAACTCATATTTATGGAACACCCACTATGTGCCAGGCACTGTGCCTCAGTTATGACTTGTGGGTGACTCTTCCTGCCAGCCCTGTGAATGGGTGTCACTAACGCTCATCAGGTAAAGTCCCTGAAAAGTGTTTTCGCTCCTATAAGCAACACCATAGGGAGAGGTAGTGCCCAGTTCCTTGAATGCCAAGGACTTGCCCAGTTGCTAGGAAGAGACAAAGCCCAGGCTGCGGCCCAAGCAGACACTAATGTCCACCCTGCCGGTGGGAACTTACCCACCTGAGCTCCTGACCCCAGGAGTCTGAAAAGCCCCTAATAGCCATGAGTATCTGTGTATTTCCAGCTGTTTTTAAAAAAGTCTATAGAGAAAGAAATAAGAAGTAGGCAGGTTCTGGGTATGAGAAAATGACAAAACTGTGCAGGGAGTTGTCTTTGTGTTCTTGAGAAATCATCTGAATAACGCCGTGATTTGTGATTCAAATGGAAATGCAATGTTGCCAGCTGCCTCGGAGTGCTCTGAGCGCCTGACACCAGCCTCCCCAGTGTTTTCCTGTCTTCTTTCTAAACAAAACCCTCCCTCCTCAGCCTTGAATGAAGGCTGGTGTTTGCCTTTAGCAGCAGAGGGCCCCTGGACTGGCTGGAGAGAGCGGGAGGCTAGAGCTAAGCTGAAGCAGCCTCAGCACACCACCCACTGCGTGCCATTGAGCAAGGCCGGCTCACTTCTCTCTGTGAAATGCGAGTCCCAGCGCTGGTGCGTTCTGGCTGTAAGCTCAGGGTCCCTCATCTACACTTCGCAGCCAACACCAGTGAAAGGGGTCTGTACAGTGAGTTTGTTTTAACAATGTACTAAGGGCCTACGGTGTGTTGGGCAACAGGCCTTCCAGCCCCTACTTTTTCCTCACTACTAATACATCCCAACACAAAAACAGAGGTGTCCCTGTCCCTGAGGAAGAGCGTGGTCACTTCTGAGTTCGTGGCCTTGTCTAAATCAAGATATGGAGCCATGAAACAGAGCCCCAGCTGAAATGACTCAAACGCACAAGAGTTGATGCCGTCACTCTGAGAATAGTCCAGAACAGCGGTTCTAGCCTGGCACTGCGGCTCCAGTCTGAGGACTCAAAATGCCTAGTTGTGCTGCCATCTTCTTGGGGTCAACACATGGCCCAGTATTGCTGCCAGAAACTCCAGCCATCGTGCCTGAATTCCATAGAACCCTTTTACTTCACCTCATTGGCCCAAACTTGCCACAGTATTACAGTTCGCTGTAGGGGCGGGGTCAGGGTGGACTGGAGAATGTACCTGTAAATGGGAGTTCTTCTGATGGCAGGTGGGGGAGAGTGGATTGTAGAAACCACCATGCATCCTGTGCCATGCTCTGGTTTCAGTGAGGGCAACGCTCACTCGCAGTGGCGAGCAGAGGAATAAGGGGCTTGCCCGAGTTCCCATAGCTGGTAAGCAGCCCCACCCCCCACTGGAACCTAAAACTGCAGAAAATGAAAACTTCTGAGCTTCCACTCCAGCTTCTCTCAGCAGATCCCTCCTGCCCCCAGCGCACCCAGGCTTTGTAGAAAAACTTCCTTCACCTTTATTGGATAAGCTCTAGAGCAGCCTTGGCCGAGAGGCATCCTACCTTTTCTGGCTTGAGCATTGGAGTTGCATTGGCGTTCGGTAGGCTCAGGGGGTCTCAGCATCCTGAGACTCAGGCTGGAGTCCCGGAGCTCAGCTGGGCACCCTGCGGAGGGCTGGGCTCTGTTCTCCCGCCATGGTCCTCACTCACTATCCTCCTGCAGGTCAGTGGCCACTTAGACTATGCCAAGCAGATGGATGTCATCCTGAAGGCAGTCGGCATCCGCACCAAGCCAGGCTGGGACGAGAAGGGGCTCTCACTGGCCCCCAGCAGCCTGCCCAAAGAGGAGCCGCACCAAACAGCAGCCACCGCCTCATCAAATAACATCAGCCGCCAGGAGGGGCAAACGCTGGATCCCGCACCTGGAGATGCTCCCCCAGTGGGTACACCCACCGAACCCAGCCAAGCTCAGGTGCCAGCGGGGCTGGGCCAAGCTGGAGGGGTTCCTGCCGCTCCCAGCCCCAGCGAGAGCCCACAGGTCTGCAGCCACGGCATAGGCACCAACCCCCTGGGCTGCCCCGACTGTGCCAGCCAGACCCACGGGCCCAGCACAGGGCAGGATTGACCCCAGAGGGGAGCTGAACCATTCCCAGATTTTGATCTGCAGAGTTCCCAGCCCCCCACGTGAGCCCCAGAGGTGCAGGGTTCCCACCGGTGCCTTTCCTCAGTTGCAAGCACTGGGGCTGAAAAGAAAGGACTTGGGAGGAGGGGGCCGGGGGAGGGAGACAAAGTTTCCTGTCTTGGGGACAAGGTCAGAGCCCTGCGCAATCAGCCAAGCACCGTTCAGAGCCCCGATTCAGAATACAGCCGCGGGGCTTCCTGTACTTGAGGTCACAACTATGGGGTCCGGCGGTCCATCAGGAGATCCAAGGACACCAAGGTCCCACCCACCACATTCTCTGCCACCCTCTGCTGGTGTGCTGGCAAAGCAGGTGTCTGCCTGCCCCCTCCACCCACCCCAGGGCTGCCCGCCTACCCACAGGCACCACTGAGGCCCCCAGAGCTGGTGCGCAGGGAGCGGGGAGCTTCCTCTGCTGTTGGGAGAGAGCCGGGCAGGTCTGCCTCACGCAGTCACGCCGGCTGTGCACGGCACGACTGCAGGGCCCCTGGCGCATGGACACGTGAGTGGGCCTGCCCAGCTGTGCTAGCTGGTGTCCCTGCAGACCTGCAGCAGCAGAGTGAGTAAATGCTGAATAAGCAAGTGGTGTGGGTGGGACTGGGCTTGGTGACAAGACTGAATTATAAGGGACGGATTTCTTGTAACAGCAAGAGAGGTGATGAGGGTTACAGTAATAATAATAGCTGCATTTTAGTATTCACCGTGTACAGATGCTTCCGCCGGTTCCCTCAGTGGGTGCTCACAAGCTGTCAGGTAGGTAACATTATCTTCATTTCACACTTGACGTTATGGAAGCCCAGAGAGGTTAGGTAAGCTGCTCAAGGCCACACAGCTGGTCAGTCTCACACTGCAGTCGATAGGACTTGAGAGCACAGGATCTCAGCCACTGAGCCCGTGCACGGGGACCCTCCCTTCCTCCTCCCGTTGTTGCTGAACAGCAGGTCCAGAGATAATGCTCCTCTGCCCTGCAGATAGGGAAACAAAGGCCCAGGTAGGGAAACTGTTCCCAAGCTCTGGAGGAAGCCAGGAGGGAGAGAGGCAGGAAAAATTAGTGTTGGAGTTGAACAGTTCTTAGGAAAATCCTTGTGTGCCTTTGTTCACCTAACACATTTACAGAGCCCCTGCTGTTATGAGTCCAAATAACTCCTGTGACCTGTAGGAAACAGAGTCCCCAAAGCGAATTAAGGCCAGCGTGTGGGTCAGAACCCAGGACACTGAACTCACCTCACCTGAGTGGCCCCCAAAGCGAATCCAAAATATGGTCATTGCCTTGGGTTTTTATTAAGAGTCCACTTGGGCAGGTCTGGAGGCAGAGGGGAGCCCCGACAAGCACCTTGGCCCCTCTGGCAGTCTGCAGCCAGGGCAGGCGGCAATTCTAATCAGCACCAAGGAGAGCGGCAGGCCACCGAGGAGGGCCCTTGGGAGTCTGGATGAGGGCAATTGGTTGAGGGGGAGGGGAGGAGGGAAGGCTAAGGAAACACTGAAGTTGAAAACAAATATACAACACGTAACCTGTGGAAACCAAGAGGTCCCCCTCAAAAAAAAATAATGTCCCAATCCTGTTTCCCTCACTGATATCAAGGAAGGTCAGAAGGAGTGGGCAAGGAGCTGGCACTGCCCCCTCCACGTGTACCTTCCTTGGCCCAAGGAAGCCCAGGATATTGGAAAAGCACCCCTAGTGTTGAGCAAGTAGCCACCAGCCCCCCTCATCCCCTAGGAAAGGCTTTGCAACTGCCTGGGAGCTCAGATGGGGTCCCCCCAGCATCCAGAGCAAGGAGTTAGGGAGCCAGCTTGTGGCTGTGGATCTGGACTGGGGATGGAGAGAAGGAGGAATATGGAAAAAGCAGTGAGAACAGAGAGCCTTTCCTCACCACAGCCAGAGGCTGGCAGCTGGGTGGCCACGCGTGATGATGGCAGAAGGGACGCCCTGCTGACCACGTGCTGACACTGAGCCTCCTGTGTGCTTTCCCATGACATCCTAAGGGGCAGCCGTTGTAACCCCATTTTGCAAGTGGAACAGCAGGATCAGAGAGGTTCAGTTAGCTGTGCAGGAGCTACTAAGTGATGGAGCAGAAACTCAGGTTGATGCCTGCCTGGCTCCCGGGCTCAGGCGCTCTTCTGCGTGTGGCCACGCCCACCCTGAGGGGCTGGCTGCTCCAAAATCTGTCCAGCAAAGCAGCCTTGGAGTTCAATATCATCTAAGCCAACACATCTCAAGTTGTAATGGGCACACGACTCCACAGGGGCTCGCTAGCACCCAGATTCTGCCCTGGCAGGTCTGGCAGGCCAGGTATGCATTTTTCACCAGGTTCCCAGGTGGTGGCCCAAGAACTACCCTTTGAAGAGCTGACCCAGCTCTGCAGATGCAAACATCCTCCCACACAGTCTGGTAAAAGTGCAAAGGACAGGCTCATCGGCATCCTGACCAGAACCAGCAGAGTCCTTTGACCATCCTCTACACACACCCACAAATCACACACAACAGTGGGGCATCTTGGAGAAAACCACAGCTGAGCTGCCTCTTAACCCTCCAAGTAGGGGGCCTGCAGGAGGCAGCGGGGACTCGGGGCCCCTACTGGAACCCAAGGCTCCCAGGAAACCTGCAGCCTCTGGCCTTTGCCAAGAGCAGATGCTCACTAGCATGGCCCCGTCCAGCCCTGCTCCCCGCTGACCGACTCCAGGCTGGGTCAATGTGTGGGTGTACCAAGCGGATGCAGCCGAAGCTCAGACTCCACAGGATCGATGTTGAAGAAGTTGACCGTGGCCCTGGCAGGTGGTGGGGGATCCCGGGTGGTCTGTCCAGGCAGCAGCAGCTGGGCTGTGAGCTGCAGGCCTGAGGAGCCCCCAGAACCTGAGTCGGAGTCAGAGTCTGGTGGGAGGGGCAGCGGCAACACCTGCTGCAGGCTCAGGCCGGGCCGGGGGCCGCTGTGCGAGGTACGCATGGACGGCGAGGCGGGGCTGGCCCGGTGCTCACGAGCACAGTGGAGACATGGCAGGAACCGGCCCAGGGCCCGCTTGAAGTCCCGCATGAAGAGTGGGTAGATGATGGGGTTCATGGTGCTGTTACAGTACCCCAGCCATGTGAGGACATCGAAGAGGCCTGGGGGGACGCAGTCACACACGGCCTGAAAGGAAAGGGTGCGTCATGCTTGGTGTCAGAGCAGGGACACAGACCACCCCCCACCCCACCCACTGCGAGGACAGCACACACAGGAGCACATACGCCAAGCACACCCTCCTCCCTCCCCATGTCTGGTCAGGGTGGAGCTTAGGGCCTCCCCAGCAAGGCCTGGAACCACCTGCTCCCTGCACTGGCATTACCTGGGCTATGTTGGCCACAAAGAAGGGCAGCCAGGTCACAAAGAACATGCCCAGCAGGATGCCCAGTGTCAGGCTGGCCTTCAAGGCCTTCCTGCTGTGCTTGGTGGCTAGTCGCCTGCTGTCAGCTGACTCCACCCCCTGGTGTGGGGTCCTGGGTACCTGCCGAAAAGAAAAGCACATGAGAAGATCTCCAGTCTGACCCTGATCCCAGCCACAGACAGCCTCGATCCTAACTCTAGATTAACACCTGGTTCCATCAGTAAACGGAGCTCTGACCCTTGACTGGGCCCCAGCTCTGATTCCAAACACCTGACCCTGACTCCAGACTGAACCTTGACCCTGGTCTAGACCAGGCCCTGACATCAGCAGTAAACTAAGCAGGGTGCATGGTCCCAGACAACCCGATACTTCCAGATTTGAGCCCTATGTACTCAAGACGTCAAACTGAGCCCTAGCCTAGTAGACCAGACCGAGCCATGATCCTATTCCAAGCCCTGGCCTTGCCCCATAAGTTCACATGGAGCTGGAGGAAGTGCAGTGAGATAGAGCAGCACTGCCCCAATCACAAGGCAGGTCCTGGCCTCACTGCAAAGGACAATACTTAACACGGGTCAACACACATGACCAACGCCGGTGGTGCAATCAAACAGTGCTTGACGGGGGCGGGCTGCTGCTGTCTGTGTGTGACCCTCTCTTTGTGTGTGATTGTGTGTATATGTGGATTCTTTTCATACTGTGGAATAATAGCTTCGTTCTCATGCTTCACAAAATAGTGATTTTTGAAAATGTGTGCACATAACCAGTGTTTGCAGTGAAACCCATGACAGGTTAGTAGGGCTGCTGGAAACCCTGACATTTTGCAGCACTAATTATACTGTGGACTGGCCAACCTCCACTTTGAAATATGCATGTCAAGAGAAGGAGCTTGAGGGAGGGAAGAACAGGAAGGGGGCTCTCAAGGCAGCCGTGGGAAGGGAGACACAGACAGGAGGAGGCAGATTCAGCCCCCAAACACTGACTGGGTCTCTGACCCAGATCATCCTTTACCCAAGCAGGCCTCTTAATTTTTCCAACTTCATGATCCCTTGGGAATCTAATGAAATCTACAAAACCTCTCCCTAAGGGAAAAAAACAAAAATTTACAGATTTATAGACACAAAATTCCCATGTTTGCAGGGGCTTGAAGGGCCACCTTGAGCCATGGCACCCTTGCGAACCTGTGAAGGCTGACATGTGAAGCCCTCTTGAAATCATGTTTGGATTTTCATGTTTGTGTAACTTGGATTTCCAAGTTACACAAAGACCCACCTATCCTTACAATTTAAGTAACTACCAGTGTGCAAAGGTGTGCACAACTCATTGAACTGTACAAAGGGAATGAGTTGGGAACACACCTGGGCTTTGAAAGCAAAGGAATCCTCTCGCCCTCAACATATCCTAAATCCTAAATGAGAACCCAACTTGGTTCGTGAGGCAGCCAAAGATGGGTTAGATCTGAAAAGATGAGAGCCAGGATTCAGAAAGGGAACCAGATTCCCAGTGAACCTTCGCAGATGGAAAGGGGGTGGAGGAACAAAGCCAAGATGTGTCATCGACAGCGCCAACCCCCACCCCACTCACACAGCAGCACCCGTCCTCGCCTTCCTCAGGGCAAAAAAATGTGATGCTGTCCGTGGTGCTGAAATCCCAGTGCAACACCTGTCTATAGGCTCAGAGCGTCTGATCCTGGAATAGCAGAGGGCAGGAGTGGGGAGATGAAGCATATTGTAACTCCCACTCTTTGATGTATTTATCCAGGTGAACTCTGGTTGTTCGAGATCAAGGGCAAGTTCACACACTTCAGGCTGAGAATTCTCTCCTGTCTCTTGGGGCAGCATTGTACAGAGACACAATGGGCTTCTAAAACAAGTGATCTGGCTTCAGATCCTGCTTCTAGCACTTACTCATTCTGTGACCTTGAGTGAATCTCTGTTTTCAAATCTGTGAAATGGGAGAAAGAATACTCAGTGTACAGAGTGCCTTGAGGCTATGGGTAAAGGCATGCACGTACCCCAAACAGAGGGAGCCCGGAGCGTGTGGAAGCCCTGCCACTGATCAGTGGCATGTGTATAAGGCTGGAGTAGTTTCTGGCACCCTCAGGAGCCTTGTTCTCCTTCCAGCAGCTAGGGCTCCCCAAAGCAACAGAGACATCAGGGCACAGGCTTTCTCTCCCCCAGAGTGAACTTGATGGTGCCCCCACCATAGTTAGACCAGAGGAGAGACCTTTGCTTCTCCCAAAAGAATCTCCTGAGATCAGGCTTTCACACTGTCACCATCAAAGCGGACAGACAGCGGGGGAGGAAGCAGACACCACCCCCAGGTCCATCCATATGGGAACCTGTCTCACACCTGGTGACTGGGGAGATGCAAGAGATAGTCCTGGTCTTGTCAGAGGGCATGGAGAACTCGAGGCAGGTGAGGACTGGGAATTGTTATTGGGAGAGGGAGCTCCAGAAACAAAGTCAAAGTTGCTCTCAGATTCCTTCTCTAGGAATGATCCTGGGTTTTTCTTTCTCCTCTTCCCCCAAAGAGTAGATCCAAGAATATAGGCAAGAAGAAAGAGAAAGAAACTGAGGCCCAGATAAGGCAGGGGCCTTCCCAAGATCACCTTGTATCACTACAAGACTCAAACCAAAGCATGAGTGAGCGCAAGTCAGCAGCATTATCCCCATCAAATGAGCACTTTCCACACATCAGCATGAGCCATTTATCCTGCCAGCCAGACCTTATAAGAGGTAGGCACTTCCATCATCACCTGCACTTTGCAGATGAGGTTCAGAGAGACAAAATCATGTGCCAGGAATCACACAGCAGGTAAGTGTTGAATCAAGGATTCAAAGTCATTTCTGGCTCCAGAAATTGCACTTTGTCCACTTCACCATGCTGCCCCCATGGAGGAGGGGAGGGTGGCATGCACAGAGCTCAGTCAGGATGGGTCACAGAAGCCCACCGCTGTCAAAGAGAGCCCATGGCAACCACCCGCCCACACCCTGGGGCCCAACTGATGTCAGCCTCACATTTCCCACTTCTTCCTGCCCACTGCCCAGGGCCCCTCATTCTATTGTGTGCCTAGCAGGTGCCCCTGCCAGAGAGGGTAGCCCCCTGGAGGACAGTCTGGCCATGCCCTCCCAGGACACAATTCCACCTACAGAGTCCAGTGTCCATAAACATCCACTCGCAGACATACGAATGTGTGCTGCATCCTGGTGTGTGGTAGGGAAACATGGGAATCAGCCAAGCATCCATCAAAAGGAGATGCTAAGTAAGTCCCAGCACAGAACGCTCCACAGGCGTCCCTGGCGACCGAGGGTCAGTCTCAGCGCTGGCACCGCTGCCAGCTCAGTTCCATCCCCGGCCAGGGAGTGACCCACAGGGCACAGTAGCCCTCTCCTGTCTGGTCCACTGCTCCCCTCAGCAGTGTGTTTCAATAGATCTGCCTGTTCTTTTTTTTTTTTTTAAGAAAATATTTATTTTATTTACTTATGCATACAAGCGCTGAATGGCCAGAATTATGGGGGGGGTGGGAGGATTCCCCAGACACAGAGTGGGGAGCAGAACAGGAAAATCTGAACTACACTGCTGTGGGGAGCAGCAGGTCAGACAGGAGAGATCTGCTGCCCCCTGTGGGTCACTCCCTGGCTGGGGATCAAACTGGTGCTGCAGTGGCTGCAGATAGCTTCTTAGTGCTGAGACTTAACTTCTGATGCCACCAGGGAGAGCCAGGCCTGCCTGTTCTGTTCTGTCTCTGGTGAATCCTCTCACCCTCTGGTCTAGGCCCCAACTGTTCTACACAAAAATAAATAACATCTTTAAAAAAGGAAATGCTATAACAAGAAAGAGAATGCTCCATAGATGTCTAAAAGAATGAATTGATCAGGCCTCTCCCTGGTGGCATAATGGGTTGGCGCTACACTGCAAGGCTAAGCCAACTGTGGCCACTGTAGTGCGAGTTCAATCCCTCCTGGGAGCTGACCCACATGGTGCGGCAGACCTCTCCTGTCTCGCCTGCAGCTGCCCTCAGCTGTGGACTTTGTCCTTCTCCCTCTTCTGCTCCCCACTCTGTCTCTGGGGAATCTTCTCACCACCCTGCACCTCCGGTCTGTACACCATTTCTGTATGCATAGATAAATAAATCTTTAAATAAAAAAAAGAATAAATTGATCAAGCTCTCCAAGACATGTTATTAAATAATAATGGTAAGTTGCAAAACAATAGATAAAGCATGATCCATTGGTCTAAAAAACACCCAAAACAAAACATTGTTTCTTTTTGGTACATAAATATGTAAATACCTGGCAAACCATAGTGTAAATTGATATGTATCCCTAGGGGTGGAAGCTGACTGGACAAAAGGCAGAGGCCTCTATTACTTTACCGCCATTGTTGAATTTTTACCTTAAAGTGTCCTTCTGTGCTCCACAGTGTAACATAAATTTTTTATCATCATCTGGAGTCAGCCTGTCTGGTTTCAAGTCATGGCTCTGTTACTGCTCAACCGCCCGACCCTAGGCGAGGAATTTGCCCTCTCTGCTCAGCTTTTTTTCCCCTATAAAATGGTCACTATCAAGCATCTACCTCATTGGGATCATAGGACAGTTGTAGGGTTGGTTGGTTGGTTTGTTTTTCCAATTTTTGCATAGAAGAACTGGGATGAAGTCTAGAGGTTTGGGGCATGAGCGGATTCACCAGAGACAGAGTGAGCTACTGAAACACACTGCTGAGGGGAGCAGCGGGGAGAGAGGAGAGGGAACAGTGAGACGTAACCCCTTGGCCACCAGGGAGACCCCTGAGGGACAGTCTAGATAATATGCAGAAAGTTACTGGACCTACCTGGGATGCGGTAAAAACCACGTGACATGGCTGTTACTGGCGCCCGGCTCAGCGCTTTGACAATTGCCATGAAGCGGCTGGAGGCAGCCACGCGGCTCTTTTACCTGAAAAGGCTCAGAGGGGGCCCTCCCTGGTGGCGCAGCGGGTTAAAGCACTGCACTGAGAGGCTGAAGCCACTTCTGCATGAGTTCGATTCCCGCCTGCCCCGGAGGTGACCACATGGCGTGGCAGACCTCTCCTGACCCGCCCGCTGCTCCCCTCAGCAGTGTACCTCGTCGATCTGCCTGTTC